ACAGCTTGAGGCTCTGTCTCAAAAAAAAAAAAAAAGAAAGAAACTAGAAGTAGGGAGACCCATTGGGAAATAATTGTAATGACAAATGGTGAATGAGTCCCTGGACCAGGATAGCAGCACTAGGGACAAAGGGGAAACAGATGGAAACAGCCTAGAAGAATGATAAATTGGCAACGAAGACCAAAAATAACAGCAATTTTTTAATAGACCTGCAAATTTAGGTCAAATCTCCAGAAGGGCATACTCCTTCACAGAACAAGGAACTCAGGAGGATGGGCACATCTGAGTGATTAGCTGTGGGGACATGAAGAACTATTTTGGGTATGTAGGGGGTTGAGATGGATCTGGGGCCAGACAGTTAAGTTTGTGAACTGATCCCAGAAAAAGTGCTACATACCTCACTACTGAATGTCACTATGGTCAGCTTCAAAGTACTCTCCTTGGGAAACTATGCACTGATGTCAGTGCCTAGTCCACCCTTCAAAGCAATTTTGGAAACTTTTCTGGAATGGCCATCAGGGCTGTCATCATATGAGGTCTGACCATTAAATTGGCAAACTCATCCTAGAAAAAAGTTCACACTCTTAATTGTCTTACCTGGCATACCTAGCACACAGCTGGGAGTAGGTCCAGGAAGGGGCTGCAAGTACAGTAATATGCCCTGAAGTCATAAGTATTGCGATAAGCATGGACCACATGGGAGTGTATGACATGAGAAAAGGGCATGGAGGAAAAATGGCCAGGTCCTGACAATATAGCATATTTAGGGAATGTATACTAAATAGAAGTTAGAAGAAATATGTGAGTTAACACTGGCAGTTCAAATAAAGTTAATAGATTAAGATACCTGAAAATCAATGCTGGGCTCTTGCCTTTGGAACCAGACATATCATGACTTAGGTTTGCTGGACGGAGAGTCTTTCCCTCTGGTGTCTTCGCACTGAGTTTACTCGTAGGAGCGGTAGGATTGCTCTTCAGTGCCGACAGAAAGCTTCTACTTTTACCATGATGTTTAACTGTTCTGTTGCATGTTTTACAAGTAACCAACTACCAAAAAAAAAAAAAAAGTAATAATCAGTCCTTTGAGTTCTCTTAGTTCCATAAACCACATGTTCACTGAATTCTCATGTCAGGGACCACACCAGGTACCATGGGACTATGTAAACAGAGGCTGCCTTGGGGAGCTTGCAGTCTAGCCCCAGGAATCAGACAAGACATTTAAGATGAGAAAATCTTCAACAAAAAAGTATGGCTTAGCATTTATGCTTAATTTAAAATAGCCTTTGAAAGACAATGGACTCTACTTTCTCGATATAAAACTGT